TGTATTCTGTCAATCATGTTTTAAATAAATGCTGATTGGCCAGGCAGGAAGTATAGGTGGCAAAACCAGACAGGAAGTACTGGTGGAGCAAAGAGAACAGGAATATTCTGGGGAGCAGAAAACTCCCTCCACCATTCCTGCCCAGATCACCGAAGAAGCAGGATGTGATCTGTCTGGCTGAGAAAGGTACCAAGCCATGTGGCTAACATAGATAAGAACAATGGGTTAATATAAGCTACAAGAGCTAATAAGAAGCCTGAGTTAATGGGCCAATCAATTTTATAACTTATGGAGATCTCTGTGTGATTTTCTTTGGGGCTAAATGGCTGGGGGGGCTGGCCTCATGTTACAGTTTTGGATATCCTGGGTTTTGTACTTTTCCATGTGAAGCTGATTATCATTCATTTGAGATCTTGAAGAATTTTGCTGGTATTTTGATAGGCATTGCATTGAATCTGTAGATTGCTTTTGGTAAGATTGCCATTTTTACTAAGTTAATTCTGCCTACCAAGGAGCATGGGAGATCTTTCAAATTTCTGGTGTCTTCTTCAATTTCTTTCTTCAAAGATTTAAAGTTCTCATCATACAAGTCTTCCACTTGTTTGGTTAGAAGTACTTAGAGATATTTTATGCTATTTGTGGCTTATTGTACAGGGTGTTGATTCTCTGATTTCTTCCCAAGCCCTTTTATCATCTGCGTACAGGAGGGATATTGACTTTTTTGAGTTAATCTTGTATCCTGCTACATTACTGAAAGTGTTTGTGGGTTGTAGAAGTTCCTTGGTAGAAATTTTGAGATCACTCATGTAAACTATTATATCATCAGCAAACAGTGAGAGTTTGACTTCTTCTTTTCCACTTTGTATCCCCTTGATCTCCTTTTGGTGTCTTATTGCTCTAGCTAGGACCTCAAGAACTATATCCAATAGATATGGAGAGAGTGGACAACCTTGTCTTGTTCCTGATTTTGGTGGAATTGCTGGGAGTTTCTCTCCATTTAGTTTGATGTTGTCAGTTGGCTTGCTGTGTATGGCCTTTATTATGTTTATGTATGTTCCTTGTATCCCTGCTCCCTCCAAGACCTTTGTCATGAAGGGATGTTATAGGTTGGGAAAGTTTTCTTCTATGATTTTGTTAAATATGTTTTCTGTGCTTTTGAGTTGAACTTCTCCTTCTTCTATACCTATTATTCTTAGATTTGGCCTTTTCATAGTGTCCCATATTTCCTGGATATTTTGGGTTAAGCTTTTGTTAGATTTAATGTTTTCTTTAACTGATGAGTCTATTTCCTCTATTGTATCTTCAGCTCTTGAGATTCTCTCTTCCATCTCTTGTATTCTGTTGCTCATGCTTGTGTTTTTGATTCCTGATCATTTTCTCATGATTTCTGTTTCTATAATTCCCTCAGTTTGTGTTTTCTTTATTGCCTCTATTTCAGTTTTCCAGTCCAGACTTGTTTCTTTCATATGTTTGATTTCTTTTCTTAGTTTTCTTTTAGGTATTTGCTGATGTCTTCAAATATTTTGTTTGTCTTTTTCTTTATTTCTTTAAGAGAATTTCTCATTTCCTCTTTTAGAGTTTCAAACGTTCTCTTGAAGTTATTTTTTGGTAATTTTCTTCTGCTTCATCCATATTTATTTATTCAGGTCTTTCTGAAGTAGGGTCTTTAGGTTTTACTGGTGTTGTGTTGTTCTTTGCAGTGTTGCATGTGTTCTTACCATTTTTACTCATCTTTTCCTCTAATATGTATGGTTGGGGCTGTCTGAGAATCTGTTGAACTCACAGAGATCCACCTGCCTCTGCCTCCCAAGTGCTAGGATTAAAGGCATGTGCCACCACTGCCCAGCTTCAAAATAATTTCTAACTCTGACTCTCAACACTAAAAAACAAATCCTGTTTGTACAATTTGTTATGTGCCGAGTGTTTTATACATGCACTCACTCAGCAAACAGTTACTCAGTACCTGCTTACACCAGACATGCATATATCCAAAGCTCTGTGAAATGTTCAAACTATTTTGCAATTACATGTAAAATTTCCACTATGTTCTCTGTAATCTCTCAGTATTTTAGCCACTTGACACATCTGTCTGAAGTGTCTATATACATAATAGATTGGAGACTCATTTTACTGGTTGCAATTTATGTAATAACCAACATCATACTTATCATTTAGAGATATTATTTGCTTTATAGAATTACTCTACAAAGTCCCTGTTAGTGATATACTCAAGTCTGTTTTGTGAATGTTTTACGTGTTTTCAAGAACATTTCTGATTTATGGTATAAAATTATTCTGTAATAAAAACAAGTACAAACAGGCAAGTAACAGGAATGTAAGTATTCAAATAATATGTATTTTGAAATATTAAGTTCTGTATCACAATAGTGAAAGACACTGGAGCTACTGGATCCTCTGGGAAGGAAAAGACTCACTAGATGTTTTCTGGAAAGAAAAAGACAGAAAAACAAACACATTATGATACAAGAGATGCCCTACTGACATGCCCACAGGCTAATCTGATCCAGACAGTTCCTTAACTGAGATTCCCTCTTCCCAGGTGACTCTAGTTTGTGTCAAAAACACATCAGCATGCCATGAGTCATTATGATCTAGAAGACACTACAGCTAGATGCTCTCAGCTAATTAAAGTCACAAATAATTAGCAGTCTTGTCTCTTAAAAGGATCTCTGAACAGTGGCTCTTAATGACTGTCATTACCTATGCTGCAGTTCTGGAATGATCTACTTTTACATATATGGTCATGGAAAAATTAATAAGTGTCATGGTACTGATTCCACTTGCAGCTTTTATCATTACGGGACTTCCATTCCAGTTCAAGATGACTAACACTGAGGCTGGGTACTGCTAATGGACCAGTCATTCCAATCTACCTGTCATTTCCTTCCATGGTAAATCCTGACTTTCGGGTGAGTATTACTTATCATTAGAAATCATTCACACTCCATATTCATTCCCAGTTCTCTATGCATTCCCCCTATCACAAGTCTTTCAGTTCTTTTCCTTCGATAAAACTACCAGATTACCAGCCACTTGCCAAAGATGTGTACTCATGTATCCATGAAGAATATAAAATACTTTACCTCAAGAGCTAACTTTTAACACTTGTTCCAGAAGGTACAAACTAAATTCAAGGCATAGAAATTATTGTTATTACTATTATTGTATTGTAAGATTTTGGAGTTAAGTGATCTTGAATAGAAGTTCCAATATTCATGGATGTCTTTTAACTAGTCAATTAACCTCTATGAGCCTAGATTTTGTTATCTGTAAAACAAAAAAAATATCCGTGTAACCTATGTACCTAACATCTAAGTGCATCAAAGGTACTCAATAAAATGATGGTAACCTATATTATATCTCTAACATATAATCTATTTGTTACTATCATGACGTCTTCCTAACAGAAGACATCCTGTCTCTTTCCTCTATAGCCCACTATTTCTACTATTATCAACGCTCCCAAAATTGAGAATAATATAAAATGAATCTCACCATTTCTCTATCAACAAAATCAATAACTGTACTTTTAAGAAAGATTCTCAAATTTTTATCAAATGCCTGTAGAACTTGACTTTTATTTCTTTCCCATCTGCTCCTGCAACATTTCAAATGTCACCAGTGGCAACCTTTGAAAATATGCAGGTACAGTGACTGTGGTGGCAAGCCACAAACATCATCCTGAATCCTGGAGCGTGTGTAACTGGATGCAGCCAGTACATGTTACCTCTTCCTGGAGAAGATGGGTACTTGCCCATTTATCAAGACACAAATTCTCATGCCATCAAGTACCAAATATGGTCCACTGTGGAGATGAAGAGGAACATAAAAAGTAAACCTAACCAAGAGAGCTTTCCAAGTAAGAAAGAAAAACAGAAACAAGATGAAAACAGTTTCTGGCTTTAATCTTGACACTGGACAAGGAGAAAGGTGCACAGGTGGACAGCAGGAGAGCCAAATGCCCATGGGAGGTGATTATCAGAGAGCCCAGACAAGTCCTTGTTCACGCAAGGCTAGGAAGGTGGACAGGATTTCTACAACCAGAAGGAAAAGTGTCAAACCTGGTTGATCAGCTTGTGGCCAAGTGCAAAGTCACTACAGAGAAACAAATACCTCAATTGTAATCTTGGTCACTGTTAAACTGTAGAGATTCTGAGTATCTCAATCAGCTATGATATATACCTGGTGAACAGATAACTCACTAAAGTACAGTAGGATAACTAATTATTCCAGGTAACAGATGCACAACTTATTTTAGTTGAATTTTCTTTTTATTGAAAATGGATTTTTTTCATGCAATATATCCTAATTACAGTTTCCCCTCCTATACGCCTCCCACTCCCTTCTCAGCTCACCTACCATTTAGATCCACCCACTTCAGCCTCTCATTAGAAAACAAAGAAGCATCTAGGTAATAATAATAATAATCAGAAGAAAAAAAGTCCAAGAAAGGCACAAGAAGCAGATACAGATGCAGAGACCCACAACTTCACAAAGTCAGAAATCCCATTAAAACACAAAACCAGAAGCCAATATATATTGCAAAGGGCCAGGGTGTGTAACAAGAGGAGCAGGCTGCTTGTTGTCCCGGCAGCCCAGCTATCTTACACCCGAAATAATCACACAGAAACTGTATTAATTAAAACACTGCTTGGCCATTAGCTCTAACTTCTTATTGGTTAATTCTTACATCTTAATTTAACCCATTTCCATTAATCTGTATATGGTCACGTGACTGTGGCTTACTGGCAAGATTCTAACCAGCGTCCATCTCAGGCAGGAGATCCATGGTGTCACTCTGCCCTTCTTCCCAGCATTCAGTTCTGTCTACTCCACCTACCTATGTTCTGTCCTATCAACTAGGCCAAAGCAGTTTCTTTATTCATTACCCAATGAAAGCAACACATAAACAGAAGGAACTCCTACACCAAGGGTGTGAGAGAGGGAGAGTAAAAAATACATTAAATTTTTAAAAATAAAAATAAATTTAAATTAAAAAAGGAACTAAAAAGGAAAAGCCCTGCCACAGCATTATAAGACAAGGAACCTCTAAAGATTCCTCTGAGCTCATTTTCTGCTGGCCATCTACTTACTGCTGGGCTTGCAGCCTGCCCTTAAGAATAGTTTGTTTCCCCAGTGAGATCACCTTGGAGAACACCATATTTTCATGTAAGTGGTTATCACTTGGAGACAGATCCTGGGTTAGGGATGGGTGCATGAGTCCACTTCTCCATTAAACTCTAGGACCCACCATGCAAACCATGCAGGCCCTGTGCATGCTGCCTCAGTCTCTATGATGTCATACGTGCTTTGATGCTGTTGTTTAAAAGGCATGTTTTCTTGGTCCTCCATCCCCTCTGGCTCTTATACGCTTTCTTCCTTTTCTTCCACCAGATCGCCTGAGCCTTGAGAAAAGGAATTTAATGGAAACGTTCTTTTTAGGGCTAAGTGTTTCAAGGTCTCTCACTCTCTGCATATTGTCTGGCTAGGGTCTCTGTATTTCTTCCAATCTACCACGGGAAGAAGCTATGTTCAAGTCCTAGAGAAGGAAACTTCCCTGATGATGAATGAGCAATGCACTCATCTGAGTATAGGAGAATGTTGTTATGAGTCATTTTATTGCTATGATTCTGTTTTGTTTTGTTTAACAGTGGTATTTAGTTTTACCTTAGTTTCCTAGGCTAACTAGTCTCAGGTCCTTAGTCAGTCAAGCAGCACTGGGTATGGACCAAAGCATATGTTGATCAAAGTAGATGTTGATTGTTTACTGCCACAAATTTGTGCCTCAGTTGCCTTAACATGTCTTGAAAGGGAGGACACCTTTGTACATTAAATGTGTACCTGGGTTGGTGTTTTCGTTGCTCCTTTGGTAGCCTGCAGAGTACATTCTAGTACCAAAATACACTAGCCCAGTGATATAGAAATTGTTTAACATATGTAAATTGATAAATGCAATCCATCATATAAACAAACTGAAACACAAAACCGAAATGATTATTTCATTAGATGCATAAAAGACCTTTGAAAAAACCAGTACCCCTTGATAACAGTCCTAGAGAGATTAGAGATACAAGCAACATACCTCAACATAAAAAAAGGCAGTCTACAGCAAGCCCACAGCTAGCAACAAATTAAATGGAGAGAAACCCAAAGCAATTTCACTAAAATTAGGAACAAGACTAGGCTGTCCACTCTCTCCATATCTATTCAATACAGTGCTTGAAGTCTTAGCAAGAGCAATAACAACTGCAGGAGATCAAGAGGATACAGATAGGAAGGGAAGAAATCAAATTATCTTGACTTGTAGATGATATGATAGTATACATAAGTGACCTGAAAATTCTTTCGGGCAACTCCTACGGCTGATAAATACTTCAGCAAAGTTGCTGGATATAAAATTAACTCATAAAAATCAGTAGCCCTCTTATATACAAATGACAAATGCACTGAAAAATGAATCAGGAAAATAATACCTTTCACAGTAGCCTTAAATAATGTAAAATATCTTGGGGGAACTCTAACCAAGCTCATGAAAGACTTGTATGATAAAAACTTCAAGTTCAAGGGTCCTCCCAGCACCTCTAGGCTCCGAGCTGAAGGAGGCGAGGAACTAGCTGATGTGGGAGGCCTGTTTCCCATCTGGGGCCATGGCCATGTCAGGTCAAGAGCTGCTTCTGAGATCTGTGTCTGGGTCCATGGCCCTACCACAGCCAGAGCCTATGTTGGTTTCCAAGGTACCTGCTGCCATCAAAGATCAGGTGGGTTCCCACCCACCTGGAGCAGTGTTAGTGTCTAAGGGTCACCCTGCAGATGAGGTGATACTAATCTGAGTGGCCTGCACTGCCCTCAGGGTCATGGTAGCATCTGGACCTGGGCTGACACTGACCCCTGCTAAGGTCTATGTTGATGTCCATGGCCTCTGTCACCACCAAAGGTCACATGATGCTTGAGCTCTGGGTTACTCCAGTGGTCATGTTGGTGACTGAGGGATGCGCTACGGCCAGGGCCATGAAGACTTGAGTGAACTGGACTGCCACCTGGGACCATACTGGGACCAGGGGCCATGTCTGGATCTATGACCCTATTGCAGCCAGGGTCTGAGCCAATATCCATGGCTCCTAATATTATTGAAGGCCATGCAGATGCATGAATTCTGGCCTGCCACCTGTGGTCACGTTGCTGTTCAAAGGCCAGCTGGACAATCCTGATATGAGAGTCTTATGTAGTTACCTAGAGCCAGGGTGACATCAGTGTCAAGAGGCTGCAGAGGACCATGTCTGAGTTCATGATCCTACTTCAGCTTGGGTCTGTGTTGGTGTCCATGGCCACCAAAGGTCACAGGGATGTCAAGCTTCCAGGTTGCAATCTATGACCAAGATGGAATCTGAGGGACATGTAGCTGCTGGGGTCATGGCCTACACTGACACCCATCGCCATGGAATCATCCATGCCTCAGCTTCTGCCAAGAGCCCATGACTTGGCCCATAGCTCCACTACAGCCAGGGCCAATGTTGATATCAGTGGGGTCTAGGCCTACACCTGAGGCCATATTGTTATCCGAAAATCATGCTACCATTAGGATCATATAGATCGGGTGGCCTTTGCTGCCACTTGGAACTATGGCGACATCTGGGCCCAAGCTGCTACTCATGACATGTCTAGGTCCATGGTACTGCTGCACTTGGGGGTCTGTGCTGATGCCCATTGCCTGTGTTACCACAGAAGCCAACAAAACCCGTGTGTTGAACTGTGAGTTGAAGTACAAGGGCCTCCCTCAGCTGGCCCCACCCTTCACTGGCCTGGAGAGAACTTCCCCCAGTCACCAGAGAACCAACCCCATCCTAACCAGTCCTGGTAATAATAGACTCCCATAACTCTTGCAGAAAAGTTGGCCCTCCCTTAATGGGAGAGCTGCCCACATATACACACTTATGAAATATAGTCCCACTCCTAACCTCAGGCATGGGAGAGAGGGTCCTTTCCCTCCATCTGAGGATCGTCCCAGTGACCCAGACTGACCAACTCAGCAGTCACCCAGGTATACAGCAGGACTTTGAGCTGGCACACCCCAACAACTATCCTATCTAAGATATACTGAACCCACTGGTCCTAAAGAGCTATGGCCGCATGGTCTGCATGACTCAGGACAACAGTGAGATTTCCTGGGAGTTTAAATGAAGGTACAGGGTTGATGGTAGACCAGAAGCCAAAGGCCTTGAACCTGAACACATTGCACCATGATCATTCCCAAGGGAAGCAACTTAGACAAAAAAGTATACTGCATAATATATAGCAGCTCCCAGTGCCACTAGGACCAAGGAAGAGGCCATGGAGAAATAAGGGTGCAGAAGTGAAAAAATTCAGGGGGAGGGGTTGTTTTGTTTTGTTTGTTGTTTTGTTTTTTCAGTTTGCTTGTTTATTTTTTGTTGGTTTGCTTGTTCTTTAGTTGAAATTGGTATTCTTATTTGTAGTATTTATTTCTTCTTTTCTTTATCTTTATCATATCTTCATTATTTCCTATCTGCTTTCTTTTTTAGAAAACACTATAAGAGTAAGGATAGATGCAGAAGGACTGGGAGATGAGTAGGGTTGGAGTGTATGATGTGATTCCCAAGGGAATAATTTTAAAAAGTTAAAAAATAAATAAATAAAATACAAAAACTATTTCAAGTCATTGATGAAAAACTGAAGAAGATATCAGAAGATGGAAAGATCTTACATGCTCATGGATTGGTATGATTAATATAGTAAAAAATGGCCATCCTACCTAAAGCAATCTACAAATTTAGTGACATCCCCATCAAAATTTCAACACAATTCTTCACAGATCTTGAAAACACAGTTTTCAATTTCATATTAAAAAAAACCACAATAGCATCACTAAAGCAATCCTGAATAATAAAAGAACTGCAGGAGGTATCACTATCCCAGATTTCAAGTCATACTACAGAACTGTAGTGATAAAAAACCATATGGCATTGGTACAAAATCAGAGACTTTGATCAATGAATCAGATTGAAGACTCAAACATAAACCCACACACCAATGATACCTGATTTTTAGTAAAGAAAGAAAGAAATACAAAATGGAAAAAAGTATCTTCCACAAATGGTGCTAGTCAAACTGGTTGGCTGCATATAGAAGATTCCAAACTGGTCCATACTTATCACCCTGTACAAAACTCAAATCCAAATAGATCAAAGACCTCAATATATAACCAGATACACAGTACTGCAAACTTATTTGCACAGGAAAAGACTTTCTGAACAGAACACTGCTAGCATAGGAAATATATAAAGAACTCAAAAGCTAGATATCAAAAAAAACAATTAAAACAATGTATAGATCTAAACAGAGAATTCTCAATCGAGAAATCTCAAATGGCTGAGAAACACTTAACGAAATCTCCAAACATCCTTATTCATGAGGAAAATTCAAACCAAAACTACTTTGAGATTTTATCTTACACCTTACAATATCAATAAAACAAGTGACAGTTCATGCTGTCAAGAACATAGAATATAGGGAACACTCACCCATTGCAGGTGGGGGAGCAAACTCATATAGCCACTATGGAAAATGGTGTGGTGGTTCCTCGGAAAGGTGGGAATTAATCTACCACTAGATCCAATTATACCATTGATGGAGGAAGGTCATTGGCTAATAAAGAAACTGCCATGGCCCATTTGATAAGCTAACCTTTAGGTGGGTGGAGTAAACAGAACAGAATGCAGGGAGGAAGAGGAAGTGAGCTCAGACACCATGCCGCTGCTCCCCAGAGCAGACGTGATGAACCTCCGACCCAGGATGGACGTAGACTAGAATCTTCCTGGTAAGCGCACCTCGTGGTGCTACACACATTAATAGAAATGGGCCAAGCAGTGTTTATATGAATACAGTTTGTGTGTCATTATTTTGGGGCATAAGCTAGCCAGGCGGCCGGGAGCTGGGTGGCAGGAGCGCAGCCCGCAGCTCTTTCAACATACCATTCTTAGTCATATATCCAAAAGTGGCTTCATCCACAGAGGCACTAGCTCAACCATGTTCACTGCTGCTCCATTAATAATAGCCAGAAATTGGAAACAACGTGGATGACCCTCAACAGATGAATGAATAAAGAAAATGTGATACATTTGCTTAATAGAATATTACTTAGCTGTTAAAAAGAATGGCATTCACAATTACATGGATAGTACTAGAAAAAAAAGTCAAGCTGAGTGAGGTATCCCAGACCAAGAAAGACAAATCCATGTATTCTCTTATATGTGGATATTAACTGTTAAATCAGTGATGACCAAACTGCAATCCATAGATCCACAGAGGCTAGGTATAGAGTAAGGAAGTTGGGGTGGGGAAGACAGATATCCCTAGGAAAAATAAATAGAATAGATACCTATGGGTGGAT